TCCATAGGACTTAGTGGGACATTGTTGTTGTTGTACTATTTAAAAAAAAAAAGAAATTATGGATCACATAAGATACTTAAAATAATATATATTTTTTTATTTTAGTTTGATAGCTAGGTAAAAAATTAATTTCTGAATAAGTTTTATTAGAGGAAAATTATGTGTAAAATAACATAATAAACAATAAAAAAATAAAATTTAGTCCTATAAAATTTAGTTTGTTTCTCAAATCCCGTTTCTCCTTCGCTAATTTGTAAAATTTAGTCCTGTTGTTTCTCAAATCCCGTTTCTCCTTCGCTAATTTGTCTTGAACCTCCGGATTTAGCACATCCGGTGGGAGATGGATTCGCGGGATTCAGAGAAGCTGAAGTGCGCGAGAGGTCCTCGAAGGCTGTGGGTAGGAGAAGATTCGGTGGTCTTTGTAAGCTATGATCCCGCCGTCGCCTTCTATGTTACCTCCAACTGACTGTATCGTGGGAAAAAGGGGGTTTGGTCACGAAGGGGATGGTTTTGGGCGAAACTGGGAGAGAGGGAGATCGGGAGAAGAGGGAGAGCAAGCGGGATGAGGCGTTGTAAACCCTACCCCCTTCAGCCTCAATTTACAGGGATCAAATTCGGTGAGATCGAGCAAATAGGGAAGGCGGCAACAGCACATCGAGAGCAAAAGGAAGGAAATCGCGAGCAGTGGAAAAGGAAAAAAAAAATAGCGTACGGCCAAAAAGTAAGAAAAATTTCGGTTCTTACAGGTAGAATCTATCACGGACAGCCAGTCAAAAATAATCCTTTATCTTCTTAGAACTGTGATATCAAAATATTTTAAATGCCCATGTTGGGGATCTATAGCTAGCCAATGCCCAAGCAAAAGAGTTATGATAATACAAAGTAATATGGGTGTTGAAACTGATTACAAATCATTCATTGATTCTGCGCTCCAATTAGAGGAAATCGATGCTGTCCAAGGGGAGTTATTTGTGGCTTGAAGTGCATTGAGCTTGCAAGCTAACGAAATTGATGTGGTGCAACTAGAAAAAATATTTTATTCTAGATGCCAAGTTAGGATAAAGCCTATAGTATGATTATGGATGACAGTAGCTATACAATTGTGGCTTGCACTACCATGATAGAAAAATTTGGATTACCTACTCTCAAACGCCAATGACCCTATAAATTTCAATGGTTGAATGATTGTGAAGATGTTAAGGTGAACGAACAAGTGCTAGTTTCTTTTCTGTTACAAAAATATGAGGATGATATTATGTGTGATGTAGCGCCAAAGCTGGGCATTTGTCCTTGGGTTGGTCAGGGGCAATTTGATCAATAAGTTAAACATGATGGCTATTCTAATAAACATTCATTCACGCAGGAGCAAAAATCTATCACACTGATTCTTATGATACTAAAACAAGTATATGAAAGTTAAGTTACATTACAAGAAGAAAATATAGAAGGAAAGAAAACGATTCAAAGAAGAAGAAAGAATAAAAGAAAGGGGTTGAACCTTTTGAAGTGATTTGAGGAATAACTAGTTGATGGATGAAAAGAAAATGATTTTCATGTGAAATACTCATAAATAAAACACGTGTTTTGCAAGACATATATATATATATATATATATATGTTTTGTTTTTTGTTTTTTTTAATATTAAAAGGCATTAGTAAATACTATCAAACTTGAAACTGTTTTGCCTAGCCCTGTGGTTTCTCTTTTAAATAAATATATGGATGCCTTTCTTGAGGAGATCCTTATCGATTTGTGGGATGTTAAAAATTGATTTCATACCATGTGCAATTATTCCTAACCGACCTGCTTATAGAAGTAATTCAGAGGAGATCAAGTAATTACAAAGGTTGGATAGAGAGTTAATGAATAATTGTACGTTAGAGAAGCACGAGTCCCTGTGCAGTTCTAATTTATTAGTACGTAAGAAAGATGGGATGTGGAGAATGCATGTAGATTGTTGAGCTATAAATAATATCATTTAAAAATATTGTCATCTCATTCCTCATCTAGATGATATGTAGATGAGTTGCACATGTTTACTAAAATGGGCTTATGAAGTGGCTACTATCAAATTAGAATGAAAGAAGTTGGTAAATGAAAAATTGCCTTTAAAATGAAATATGTATTGTATGAATGGTTTGTTATGCCTTTGACTTGATTAATGCACTAAGAACTCTTTTTGAGACTTATGAACCATATTTTGTGCATGTTTATAGGTAAATTTGTTGTAGTTTACTTCGACGATTTACTCAACTATAGTAAGAGCTTAGAAGAACATGCATTCCACTTGAAGTTTGTTTTAGGTGAATTTAGGAAAGAAAATTTATCTGCCAATATGACTAAATGTATCTTCTACACTAACAAGTTGGCATTTTGGGAAAAATAAAATGAAAAGTTGAGGATTTGTCATTAGTACCCAAGGAATACAGATTCATGAAGCGAAAGTACCCACTATTCTAGACTGGCCTAGACCTACCAATAAAAGAATGTTCAAAGCTTCCATGGTCTTACTAGCTTTTATAGATGATTTGTCAAGAAGTTTAGTAGCATTGCTGCCCCACTAATTGAAGTTGTTAAAAAACAAGTTGGATTTAAATATGGAGAAGATCAGGAAATGGCCTTTCAATCAATCAAAGAAAAATTAACTAATGCACTTAAATTGGCCTTAACTAATTTTTCCAAAACTTTTGAGATTAAATGCTATGCTTTGGAACCTAGATTGGCGTCATTCTTATGAAGGAAGGGAGGCCAATTACATGTTTCAGTGAAAAAATAAGTAGGCTAACTTTAAATTATCCTACTTGTGATAAAGGGATGTATGCCCTAGTTCAAGTTTCAGAAACTTGGCAATATTATCTATGGCTAAAAGAAATTGTCATTTATATAAATCATAAATATTTGAAATATCTAAAAATTCAACACAAGCTAAATAGGCAGCAAGTCGATGGATGGATATGTGGAAACATTCTCTTATGTAATTAAATATAAACGAGGAAAAGAAAATATAATACTTGATGCGCTATCACGTAGGAGTACTTTGATTGATACCCGCAACGCTAAATGGCTTGGTTTTGAACATATTAATGAGTTGTATAAAGATGGCCATGATTTTAGTATTGAACATCAAACTAGTGAGAAGGTTGCTAATGGTAAATGTTTTAGGCTTGAATGTTTTTTAGTTCAGTAAAATATATTGTGTATGCTTAATTGTTCCTTGAGATATTTGTTGGTTCCGAAATTCGACAATAAGGGTTTAATGGGACACTTTGGGATTGCCAGGAATTTAACAATTTTACAAGAACACTTTTGTTGGCCACACGTGAAGAGAGATGTTGAAAGGCTCTATGCTAGATGTGTAACTTGTATGCATGCAAATTCATGAGTGCAACTACATGATTTATGCACATATTTGCCAATTTCTAGTGAACTTTGGACTGATATTTCAATAGATTTCATATTAGGTTTATTCAGGTTAAAATGAGGAAGAGATTCAATTATCACGGTAGTTGATAGATTTTCTAAAGTGGAAAATTATTCTATGTCATAAAATATATTATGATTTCAATATTGTTGATTTATTCCTAAAGGAGATTGTGGACTTCATTGCATGTCTAGAACAATTATATCTAATAAAGGTGCTAAGTTTTCGAGTTACTTTTGGAAGACTCTGTTGGGTAAGTTATCTAAGGACTTCATTGTTTGCCTAGACTTTGCCATACGTAGACTGATGGTTAGACAGAGTTCATGAATGTAACATTATCTACTCTGCTATAGGCTGTCATTTAAGAAAAAAATATCAATATTTAGAGGATTATTTGCCACAACTTGAGTTTGCTTACAATTGTTTTATTCATTCTTCTACTGCGTATCACCATTTGAAATTGTTTATGATCAGTATGGTATAAGTGCTTCCTTGTAGTTTCTGATTTGAGTCTTAACTATATAGATGAGGATTTGAGGACAAATTCTTTTGAAGAGGAGGAGAATGACGAGAATAAAGCTAGAAGGAGACAAGCAAACAGTTGAAGGAATGCATAGATCCAATTCAACTATCTACTAGGCCGAGGACGAAAGTATATGCAACACAATTCAAACGAGCACTCTATGGGTTGATTCACATACATGTGTTCATGCTAACACGCGGACACCCCTATAATGAGTTTCACTTGATTAGCGAGCTATTTCATGTCGTTGAATAATTTGCAGACAATTCAGATTTTAGTATTTTGTCCGAGTGTTAGTTTATTAGTGAAACTTGTTAATATGAGTTTAATCTTTTTTTTTTTCCTTTATTTTTATCATATTATTACTTTGGTTCTTTTGAATTACCCAAAAAACTCAAGGCTATTTGGGCAATTTTGTACTTTATTTTGTTTGGAAGCCTATTTATATGCCTTTGATGGAATGAAAAAAGGAACTCAGTTTTTTTATTATTAAACTTCTATATCTTGTGGTTCTTGAAACTCTGGCGTTTCTCCAAGGCGTTCATCCCCACTTATCAATTAACTGACTATTGTTGATTGTGGCTTCTCCATATACCAAAATTTTGGCTTTGTTTGTGAGTCACGGGTTGAGATTTTCATCTCCATCCATTCCTTGTCAAAGAGCAACATAGGAAAACCTGTTCTAGAACTGATTTGTATCACTTCTGGTCTCAGCTATTTGGTTTTTTTTATTACATTAATTAAGTTTTGCCGGTTAAGCAAATGTGTTTAATCACTACTTTCCTGTTCTGATGTGCATTAATGCGATAAGTTTGTTAATTGATGATATCTATGACATCAAAATAGTTGAGAACGCGAAGGATGATGATTTTGTTAATGATTAAATATTATCTTTGTTTATATTGACATTGCGGTCTTCCTTGTTTGCATAAAATAGGAATGTTTTAAACTATTTGGTAATTCATGCTAAGTTTTTATTTATTCTTTTACATGAGTTTCTTTTATGCATGCAGTGCTTGATTTTTTTTTTTTATTTGCCTTTCAATTAATTTTAGATCTTGCAAAAGTGGTAGAACAGGCTGATTACTACAAGGGTTTTGCTCTCATGCGTGGCTTCTTCTTTTGGCTTAAGGTACGCTGCATTGCTTAGATTTTGAAATCCTTGCCATTGTCTAAATATTTTTGTAAAATATATTTGCACTTAAAATTTAAATTGATTGCATTAATTTATGTTTATCTATTTATCCTTTTACATTGAAACCTTAGTATTTATTTTGGCGTTCAGTTGCTTACTATATACTCATTTGATTTTGGCGTGAGCCGGAAAACTTTAATTCATTCACATTTTCCCAATATTTTTTCTATTTCATGTGAGGATGATTATTTTTCAAATCTGTCAGGATGAACAATTTAAATACTTGTTTTCCTAAAAATGCCATACCAAACAAAGTTAGACTGATTTGAATTTCTAATTGAACTATGTTTTAGGCCTCAAAATATTTGAAATTTTAAAATATTCAGCAAGAAAGTGTCATTGAATAGAGGAAAAAAGAATTAGGTAAGCATAACACATTTAAGGGTAGATGAAATAATGAACTTTGATGTTTTCATTGCAAGCAAGTTAGCACATTTATAATGAATTTAAGGCTCTTTCTCTCTCTCTCTCTCTAATTGTTGCTTTTTCTTTGGATTCAAGCCATAAACCTACACACTAAATGTCTAATAGCAAGTCATTTTCTTTTAAAAAAAAGAGGAGAGAATTATATTTCATACCATAGTGCATCAGAAGGAACTAAGAACTTTAACATTTTAATAAATTGTATGAATAGAATGAAGAAGCTTTTTCTAGAGAAATCTCCTAATAACATTTAAGATGATAGTTGAGTATGATAAATTTAAGTATCTTGAATTTATCATTCAGAATAATTGAGATATAAATTCAGTCAACTTTTAAAGCTTTAAAATAGAGAGGTGCTCTAAGAGTCAAATATGATAAAATATATCATGGAGGCTTAAAAATAAATTCAATAAAATTGCAATTAGTTTGATATTGTTGCATGTGTCTGAGTGTTGGCCTCAAAGTTAATTGTGGAAGAAATAAGAATATTAAGATGATGTGTGGTGAAATTAGGAAGGTCAAATTAAGGAATTATTATATTTGAGTAAATTTTAGGAGTGAGAGATAATTTACTTTCGTGATTTGAGCATATACAATGAAGGGTAAAAAATATGTTTGCTTGAGAAGTTGATACAATTAATGTTAGAGGGTTGAGAAAGAAAAGGATTGGCCTAAGATTATATAGATGTTAGCCTTGCATGATTTGTGTAGAGTAGGTCAAGCAACACTCAATAAATTCAAATGAAAAATGGGAACTTAATAACACCAATTTTAAAATTGCTAGGATAAGGTTACTCTTGATGTTGGCACCATATTGCATTTAAAGCAAAATGGGAAATGGGGTTTGACATAAGCAAAATGAAAGGATGCATTTTCTGCAAAATCTAAGAATGGAGTGGCTATCTTGAAATAGAGCACTATTTGCTAATGTGAAGCAATTAGTTCAAAAGGGGTTTCATCCACTTTTCTTTGTTTTTTATTGAAGAGACATATTGCATGAAGGGTATTGCCATCTTAAATTTTGAGGCCTAAGATCATTATGGGAGAAAGAAATGGTGCAGGGACTTTTAACATTATGTACAAGCGGTCAAACATAAGGTTGTTTAATGGCGAATAATGTAAATGATCACTCCCAGCAGTAGTTTGAAGAACCAAAGCACTACCGGAGCCAAAGGACAAACATAGTGGAAAACATGAAATCTCTCAACACTTGGTTAAAGATGTTCATAATTATTGATATTCACACAAACTAAAACTTAGAGAAATTTTCTAAATGAGGATTTTAAAGCATTCAATGCTTCTGAAAAATTAATGCGAAGAAATGAGGCAAAATCACTTTTGACCTCGTAGAAAATGCTAAACGATAGTATGAGAAAAGGTGTACGAAAACATGATTCAATTTATCGTCATAGAAAAATTGGTTTGGAAAAATGTTACAAGGTATTGAACAATATTGTTTTATGATAAACAATCTGCTATTTGCTATATCAATCCAGTTGATACTCTTGCAGAACTTAGGCCACGATGGAGCATTTATGCCGTGGGTTCCCCCATCTCTGAACAAGTTATGAGATCATGCCAGCTGCATTAACTCTTTTTGTTAACTATAGTTACATGGCAAATTTTAGAATATTTCCTTCTTTTCTTTAGGCGATACAGCAAGGAAATGTTTTATAAGGCTTTTCTTAATAATTTTTGATGTCAGGCCCATATAATGATTTTTTTTAGTTATTATTCATGTAAGTTTATATATGGTACAATACATGAATTACTTTACATTTGACATTTTGCTTCTGTTGAATTTAACATGAGACTTCCCATTTCAGAACTTGGGTGCTTGAATTCCATCCACTTCATAAAGCAATATAAAGTAGTGTATATCTGTGCTTTTCTAAATGTAAACTACTTTAACTTCTGGTTCTGCTGGTGCTTTTGTTTAACATGGACTATTGAAGTTAAGTGTATGGTATTGAAAACATTTTTTTATCAAATAAGTTAAGATTTATATTTATATAATATATTTATTTAGATATACAATCATTTGTATTCAAGTATACAAATGGCTTGTATATTAGAGTTTGTTGAGCACTCTAAATTATTTAAATAACATTAATATATTGCTCATTTATTTTTATATAATGTAATATTCAATTAAATTGATTATACTTGTACAAAAATTTCCTGCATTTACCAAAGAACTTGGCAGAGTCCACATTAATAATTTGAAATATAAATGATAAGTAAACATGCAAATCAACTAAACTTTAATGATTAGACATGCTAAATTCTTACATGGTTCAGTCATGCTTGACCTGCCACTTAGGCAGCTATTTGCTTCAACTCCTTAAGTTCAAGAAGAAATCTTCTTACTCCCAACTCATCAGTTGGTAGTAGAGACATACCAAAGATCTCTATTTCAAAGGAAGAAGAAAGCTATTCCTAATCTTCTCCATTGAATCACACCATTCATATTCCAAGCTAAACCAAACCGCATTTTGAGCTTTGGAGATAACTCAATAGCAATAACCTACAACTATGATTAATGCAATTCCTTTCAAATCATGATTGTAAGACAACCACAATAGAAAGTGCACTTTATTGAGTGTCAAGAGAAACTTTAAGATGCCATTAGTTGCTTTTACAAAGTAAGAAGAAAGCTAGCATTAGTTGCTTTTGTTATGTAATTTTATGAATCTCATTTATTCATAAAAATATTAAAAATATGCTCAAGCATCCTATAGACTATAAGATTATCTTAATTAAGCATGCATTTACTAACCATTTTTGTTTTTTTTTTAATTTTCATAATTAGTAATTTTATGTAAATTATATTGTATGATTAATATTGTGGTAGTTGATCATCATACTGTATAATTTGAGTCATATTTGCATTTACTAACCATTTTTGTTTTTTTAAAAATTATTCATAATTAGTAATTTTATGTAGATTATATTGTATGATTAATATTGTGATAGTTGATCATCATACTGTATAATTTGAGTCATATTGCATGATTATATACGTAAATAAATGACTGATTTGGTAGATTATAATTTAATTGTCAAACATTGCATGTTTGATTGTACAATTTGAGAGTATTATATGATTATATAATCTCATAGTATCTGTAACGTATTGTATGATTTACTAAAGCTTAGAACTAAAGAAAATAAGATCTTATGATTAATAATGAATTCTAATAGCCTAATTATAATGTTTAATGATGTTATCAAATATTTATATCAATTTATACCATATGAAAATGCTACAAATCATTTATATATGATAAAAATATCCAAGCATATATATATATATATATATAGATTAAAAAAATGGCTAGAGGCTATCATACAAGCCTCCAACTAGCTCTAATGTGCCTAACAATTCAAGTATCACCTCACTTCCTTAAGGCCGACTACGTGAGGGGTCTTATACAGTGGATGTCAACCAACAAGTTGGGATACACGACACACATATGTATGTATGTATGTATATATATATATCACACACGCGCGCGCGCACACACACACACTCGGACACACATTGTTTTCATCTCTCGTTGGCATGCTTTTTAAATATAATTTTATAACCTTCACAAGACATCTATTTCTCATAAACCTAAATCTTGTAATTTACATTTAGTCTTGAATTGTTATAGTAGACTTTTTTGTTTATTCCATCTACAAGTAAATAAAGTTCCAAGTAAGTCTATTTCTAAGTTGATAACTCACTAAGTTGGTCTAACAAACAATATCATCGTCTTCTTAGTTGTTATTATACAACTAATATTTAAAATATAGAATCACTTGACATATCTTCTTTTACCAAATTACTAGTAAGCCACACATGAGTCATACGGATAATACTATCAAAATACTCGTACTTTGCAAACACCTAGTTTTTCGTTAGCAAAATAGCTAGCGTTCGATTTGTTAGTTAAGCATGAGAGCCAAGTATGAATAATTATTTTGAGCTTGATTTATCATCGAGCTAAACAGAAACATATATTTGTCCGAGCATGTTCAACTCATTTCGGCTCGAATTAATTAAATAGTTAAATAATTAAATTATTAATATTTATTATAATTTTTTTTATAAATTTATATGCTTTATTTTAAAATATTAGCATTTATTTTTTTATATCATTCAAGCATAGTTCTAGCCAAACATAAATCATAAATGAACAAACAAACTCAAATCAAGTCAAAAATGAACATGAATATACTTTTCATAGATCATTTCAAATGTGAACTAATTTTGAATAGAGAAAATTAAGCCAAACATGAAAATACAATGTAGCCGCTCAAGCTGAGCTTGTTTACTATCATAAATAACTATGTATATATGAGGCATGATGAATGAATAGAAATATCTATCTTATACTCAAAAGAGAAAGTTTATATACAAACAATCATGAATAACATACACTAACATAACAAAAAAAATAGCTTCTTATAAAATAATATAAAAATTAAAATCATATTCAAACAAGATGATTGGATAATATTTAATAAAAGAGAAATTAAAAAACTGTTGTCAAAGCAAAATTAGCCGAACCCAAAATGATATATTATCATTGATACATAAGCTAAAAACATTAAAAAAAAATGAAACTAATTAATTTGCTTATGTGACAGTAATTCACCAAATACAATGTTTTTTTTAACTTTTTTTTTTTTTTGGGGAGTCGTCACCTTGCACAGCTTGCATATCTTCGTATAATTTCATTCTACGTATAAATCTCTCTTCTGGATCATATAGATGATCTGGAGAAGAGAGGAACCAGAAAGTAAGAACATACGACAATGAAGACAAATGAGAGAAAGAACGTGAAGAACTTTCATAAAGTAAACTTCGCATAACAGCCGAAAAGCATACATCCGAACAAGATTGGATAAAAAATGGCTTGGAAACATATCCACAATGAAGACATTATGAAAGCAACTGACAATCAGAGATTAAAGTTTGAGTGCTTGTTCTAGGATCAAGTGCAACTCCCAAAGAGACATATTTCTTTGGTTAATTATACATTGAGAGGTGCCCAAGAATACTCTTGATTAAAAGATTCCTACTTACAACTGTATTACGACTAATAAAAGGTGTCACAAAAGACAGTTATCTCACAGAAGTGTCCCGATGCCTTCAAAGCTCGAATTGATCCATACGGGCAGAGAGTTAGTCTCTCACGGTTCTATAAAAATGGTGGTCTATCAGCGACCAGGTTCTATGAAATAATCCAGTCATTTTGTAGGCTCCACACTATGCTTCTTAGGCCTCACTGGGCCATAAACGTAGAGGGTGAAGCACCGTATCCCAAATGGGCGAGGACTTATCCGGAAATCAAGGCCTACAAGACGACATCGATGTAGCATCAAAGGAGCGACATGGCTCAAAGGGGGTAACAAAGGAAAGGTAGAGTAATCCTCATCGAGTAGAGGTAAGTGGGTCAGAATATCATAGATCTGTCATCCCAAACTATTATGACCCCAAGTTTACCTGGTAAAGATAGTCAACCCAATACAACTGGAGATCCTTCATCAAAAATCCGTGAATTGCATAGTCCAAGGAGATCTCGATATCCCTAAAGTCAAAAGAAGAAAACTCTGATCCTATGACCTTATGTAAGTAGAAATAACAGAGGTGAGACTTATACTTACCAAAGTCGCGAGGATGCTGCTGGAATGGAAAAGAGCGGAGAGCTCCAACTATAAAGCTGAAAACAATCTAAAAAATAGACTTACTCCCCATTTGGGTCTGGAAAGCCCCTAACACTTAAGCGCACTAGACGATCATCTAGCTAGAAATCTATGCTGGGTCAGTCGAGTTGGAGAAGCACGGGGATTTTTCCTTCTTCTTGGGACATGCAAATATGGTGCAATTGTCTAATAAGTCATAAGTTTGGAGGCCCATTTAAGTATGACTGAGATGATGGTCATACTATGATACCCGTTTAAATTCTGACCTGAAGGTCATGCAAGAAAGTAAAGTGCAGATTTTGAAAATCTTGAACATTTTAAGCCTAAATTTTAATTAGTCTCAAAATTTTATTATTCAACTTTTGTAGAAAGTTTATATAAAATCTTAGGTCCTAAAGAGCCTAGGTGATCTGTACCAAAAAAGGTGAAACTGACAATCACATGCAAAAAAGACGGTACAATAAATCAAAAAAAAAAAGAATAAGAAAAAACCAAGTGCCGCTACGTTGGTAACTTATCCCAAAAACAAAAAAAGATGGCCAGCACCGCATATGTATACACCTGGTCCTAATTATTTACATCATTAAAATTTAGAAGTTAGGTACGAGGCACGAGCAAACAGCTCCTGATCCTTGTCACGTGGTTTCACCCGTTTGAAACCTCATAAACTATACCTTATTTCTAATACAACACTCTCCTAAGGACTCTAAAAAATACATAAGAAAATTCAAAAAAGGCTCGACCAACATTAAAGGAATGTTAGTAGAAAAAATTATTTACATGCAATGCATATGAACCATGCCTAGCTAGATGAGCTTAGCAACACCTGTAGAAAAGAGTTAATCATTCAAATCATTACTTGCCCCTCTCTGTTGCATGTGTATGTGTGTGTTTTAGGCATGACTCCCTGGAAGAAAATTGCCCCTACTATACTAGTGCGCACATCTCACACCCAATAAACACACAAACCAACATAAAAGTGATATCTAGCTAGGGCAACCAAACCAACAGAGAACTATAGTCAGGACATCGAAAAACTCCCTAACATCCTAGACCTTGACTAGCACAAAATTTAACATTTTGTCTTATCACAACATGTAAGTGAGTGTACGGGTCAAGTCAAAAGGCTGACATATGTTTTGGCATGTTCGTCGTCTCCGGCTTCATCCTAAGGATCCAAAGATTCTAAAAGGTACCACTAAATGTAAGATTTGTAGAAAAGATTTTAAAAAGGCTGACCTCATATATGGTATATGCTAGATATGCAAGTAACTTTCAAATTAGTTTTTGAAAATATGATGCATATAAGTAGTCAAAATACAAATTTTTATACTTTTAAAATAGGTCCTAAGAAGTAAAAGCCAAAGTGACACCAGACCCCTTGGAATCTTAGTACAATATACACATGCTAGTCACGGTGTTATAGCTAGCATTGCCCATCGAGACATCCTCGAGGATAATACTAGTTGCCACATCGTGACTAAGAGGGGCTCACTCAGCTAATGAGTCTAGGTTCATCATCGAGATGATAAAGAATGCACATGTGGATGCAAAGTGATCTAGTGCACCGCGACTGCTTCTTAGAGGCTGAAGCTATCATGAGACAACAAATATCCATTGCAAGTATGTTGTGGCATATAATAGCGACGATTATGCTAATAGTGCGAAGATGCCAAAGCAAGGCACGATGCACAAATGATATTGTGCTTGGCCGCATGTAGTATAGGACACCACTGGGAAAAGTAATGCCTTGCCCCAATAATGAGCAAACACACATGCAAATGATAGACATAGACAAAGTATGGTGCACCATGCAAGCAGACATGCGAACACATGCCTCACACACATGCACCATGCAAGCAGACATGCGAACACATGCCTCATGCAAAGGAACGTGCTCGTAACAGTGTAGGGTACTGTCACAGGGAAAATGGGCAACACAGCTCATAATAATATCATTTTAAACACAAACTAATTGTTATAAGATGTAAAATAGTGTCTGAGGAGCAGTAACTTAGAAGAGTAAGTGTGCAAAAAGTAGTGACTCAAAAGAGTAAGTGTGCGAGGAGTAGTGACTCATAAAGTACCTAAGACAGTCCGAGGTGATGTCACATGAGGTGAAGTGATGCAATTCTCATTAAGGGAGAATCACACCATGGATAGGCTTGGTGTGAAAGCCGTCCCCGACAAAGACAAGTGGATGTTCGAGATGAGTGTGTGGGAACATTGACCCCAAAAGACTCAAACATGCAAGTGATGAACACGTGGGATGCCATGCAAGATAAACATGCTTGAGCTCACAAGTATAAGTGAAAACATGCAAGATGTGGGATGCCAAGGCTTTTCTTGTTCCCCTTTTGCTAATGAGTGCATGTGCTCTTCTCTCCTAAATACTCCAAGTGTCAAAAAATTGGACACATGGTTCCTTAAGGTTCCTCTACACTAATTTATTCCATGATATCCCCTTAAAATTGCTTTTTCGATTACTTAAGAGGTGTTAGTGGCGAGATTAGACAAAGATGTTGAGGAGAAAGACAGATTCAAAAAGCAGACCGACGCCTAGGCGACACCCACTCCCCTGTGCCTACTTTCCGTACTCTTAGTTTCAGGACATTCTATAATTGTTTCAGGTGCCTAAGAATTCTGACTAACGCCTAGTCTTCCGGGACCGACGCCTGCTTTCCGACCTCTCAATTTTGAGCTCCATGGGACCTGCTCTGGCTGCCTCGGGCCCCACGCTGGTGCTTAACACTGGGGTCTAGTGCCTAGGCACCTGTCTTGCCTGAAAACCTCAATTTTAGCTGGAAATATCCGATAAAGGGTTTTTTTCAATTCGAAAGCTATGGGAGATTGTGTATGGCTAAAATATAGTCCCATAACTTCAAAAATGAGAATTTTTATGGGCCTCAAATCTAGGATCTTGATGCCAACGAGCGCCCCAAATCACTGCTCGGGTACAACATTCTAAACCCACATCTTCCCAGAAACACCTACAGGAAGCTTTAATGGGTCACTTTGACCACAGAAGACTCCGTATAAATATATCATGATCTATAAACAGACGAATGAGCATCAAACATGTTTCGTGTCGTGAATGATGTCACTCAGTGGTGGACCATCCCTGACGAGGTTGAATCATCACATACATGGTTTTATGCACCAACCATGCACCAATGCGTCTAGATGGATGTCTTGAGCTATGGAACACTATGAATGAATAGTTAATAGTCCAGAGTCATTCAATTGTACATCCTACACATGTGACATCAAAAATTGACGCCATTAATGTTCTATTAAAAAAATATCACAAATGAGTTTGATGAATCAAACTCAGTTGACATCCACTCTATTAAAGCATAATCGATAATATATTAAAACACGTGAAATGATTTACTAAATATATTATTAAGAAATAAATGACATTAAGTCATGAGGCCTTAATGGTACTATAATCCAACTTTTTTCAAGATCTTGGTAGGAAGTTTGCGCCACTTGATTTGCACTAGGCCGGATATTCTTTATGTTGTTGGACTCGTTAGCCGTTAAACAGAGGTTCCATTTACTACTCACTACCAAGAGGATTCTTCGTTATATCAAAGGTGCGATTGACTTTGACTTATTCTTTTCATCAACAAAGGAATTTAAACTTATTAGATATAGTGATAGTGACTGGGCCGGAGGCTTGGATGAAAGAAAAAACACTATAGGGTTTGTGCTCTACATGAGAAGCACTGTTTACTTGGATGTCAAAGGAGCAACCAATCTTCACTCTTTTTACTTGTGAAGCTGGGTATGTTGCTGCAACTTCTTCTGTCTGTCATGTAATTTGGCTTCAAAATTTGTTGAATGTATTAAGATTGCTAAAAGAAGAGCCCACAAACATTTTTGGTGATAACAAGTTAGCTATCATTTTGGCAAGAATCATGTGTTTCATGATGGAACTAAACATATCGACACACACTATCACTTCATTAGAGTGCATCAAAAGAAAGAATGTGCAAATGAAGTGTAAAAACTTATGATTAGGTCGCTGATATTTTTATTAAGCCGCTTAAGTATGGAGATTTTATCAAGATAAGAAGATTGCTCAAGATAACAAATCAAGTTTAAGAGGGGTGTTAAAAAATTAAATTTGATTTTTTACCCGTACAAATTTGGGCTTTAATTGTGCCCATAATCTACAACGGACTTTGAAAAATTCTACAGACTTATTTTCTGAAAATAATTTTATAGGATTCTAGAGATGTATTTTAATGGAGTGATTTGTAAAACTATAATATGTAATTAAGGACATGTAACTAAGATAGAAGAATATTCTAGAAAATCATATAATTGAAATGTGTTAACACAATCTTAAGAGGGATGTCACTATATAAATAGGCGTAGCATGTTTGAGTTTGTGCGAAGAGTAAACTAAATATGAGTCTTTTAACTTGTGTTCCTCTTCTTTCTCATCATTCTTCCTCTTATAATTATCCTTTATTTCCAACCAAGAGATTCAGATATAAAGTAAAAAGAACGCATACGCATCCGACCCCCCTTCCTCCCCTTTCATTCTATTATTTCCCTTATACTGATGCTCGTGGGGCAACGGTCGCCCAGATGCAAACTTCACATTTCAGCACACAAATATGTTTTAACCAGCTTGGCTATAAAATAAAAAATCCCCATCTTCCTTGAAAATTTTCAGCTCTTTGCTAAGCTTATTTCCGCCCTTTGATGTGACACATTATTCCCTTTAGTGTGGTGGCATCCACTCAATTGGCTTGGAACCATCCTTATTCCCATAACAAATCATGGTAGAAAAACTTCGCCTTTTCAGAAGCCGAAGTCCTAGTTTAATAGGAAGACGACGAAGATGCAGAGATGATAGAGGAATGCATCATCACTGAACCATGGCGAGAAAAGAAGCAGCATTTGACGATGGAGGCACCGAAGCCGGCGCCTTTCTTACAACATTTCCACCATTACCTACATCTCCCACGCTTTGTCTCTGAAACTGGATCTCATACCTGAGCTTACCGTCCTCCTCCTCATCCTCATCATCATACTCATCATCATCAACAACATCATCCTCCTCCTCCGCCTCCTCCTCCTGATTCTGTTGTTCCATCAGTTCCTTAATGATGTTTTCTGGCTTCATTAGAAAAGAAAAAAAAATCAATTCAATCTACACTGCTAGCTTCTGAATGTATAAAAACAGGACTACTGCAGAGATAGTCTAATCTATTACCTTCTTCAATGGAACCTCGCTCCCAAAGAAAACCTGAGAATGTCTATTAGCGCTGTGATTTAGCTTCTCGTCATTTGGAAGCCAGTGCTCTCCACATTGTTTCTCACTGTGATTAAATTTTTATTTCCGCCATTATTGCTCTCTTGCTCCACTGATACAGAGATTGGTTGCTCTGTATTAGTAGCAGTCTCCTGTTGTTGCTTCCTGCGATAAAGTGCATCTAGTTCATGGAAGTAAGGGCAAGTGTTGGCATCCTCCGGGCGCTTTTTGTTCCCCTCTTTCACCTTCTTGAAGTACTTGTTAATATTCTCCCACTTCTCCTTACACCTTTTGGGGCTTCTGTTGTATCCCGGCCGCTTCATTCCCATGGATATGTCCTCCCAAAATGGCCCCTTTGGCCCTGTCTCCAGGTACCTCACCTCTAACCCGCTGCGCAACTTGATTAGCGCCAGAACCTCTGTTTTCGGCCACCTTGATGACGACGAATTAGACTTCGGCGACGACATCGAAACTTCCATAACCTCCGACACCATCTCTGCATTTGAAGCAGCTGGATCTAACGATGCTGAAGCCTGGTGGATTACAATCTCATTGACTTGGTGGCTTCTCTGGCCCTCCGGCTGATCTTCCTGTGAAACTTCAGGAGGTGCAGGGGCAGAGAATGTTGTAGCTTCTATCAATGCATTCTGCTGATTAGTTACGGTTAAGCCGGCGCCGGCGAACCTCTGCAAAAAGGAGATAACTGCAGCATCATGATTCGCCGTCATGGTGCGCTCCTGCACCATAAGCTCATACTCATGGTTAAGCCGAGCCATCTCCTGGCGTTTCCATGCCTCCTCCCTCGCCATCCGATCCTGCTCGCGCTTCTCGATCGTATCTAAGAACCTCTGCTGCATTGCTTCCTGCCGTTCGATCAGCTGATTCATTAGTTTCTCAAAGAAAGCTATCATTTTTCCATTCCCGTACGACCATCCTTCCCGCTTCCTCTTCCTTCCGCCGTACGGAAGCTTGTCGGCGCCGCCGTCATCAAAGAAAGCTATCGTTTTTCCATTCCCGTACGGCCATCCTTCCCGCTTCCTCTTCCTTCCGCCGTCCGGAAGCTCGCCGGCGCCGCCGTAATCGTTGTTTTCAGCATCGGAATCGGATGATGAAGAAGAGGATGTGTCGGAAGAAAAACTGATGCCTGCGTGAGCGGTCGTTGGCGGCGGCTGCGCTGTATCGACGGCAGTTAATGCCATTAAATCTCCGGAGGGAGCAGAGGGATTGGAAGTTAGAGGCGGGAAGGGGTTTATATTGGTCGCCGGAGAGAATGATGGGACGGCGGTGTTGGTGGTGCTGTGGAGAGCTTCAAGTTGGGTGAAGAAGCGGTAGCTCTTGCCGTCCTGCCGGCCGGCGCGGCCTTCTTTGGTGCGCTTGTAGTATTTGTGAACGTTTTCGAACTTCTCCTTGCACTTCTTTGCGCTCCTTGTGTAGCCCAGTTCAGCGAGCTTCCTGCATGCCCACAATGATTGAAGCTAGTGTGAGGAACCGCGAAATAAAGAGAGGAACAAGAGGGAGAAAAAGTAGATTTTTTCTTATATATAAATATATTCTGATTTTAAAAATAAATCTTCTAATTTTGATCATTTTGTAGTATTAGCCTAAGAAATTGTTTGGTAACATAGTTTTAATAAGATTTAGGCATGTATTTAAGATAAATTCAACTAAATATTTAAAAAATAAAATAAAATTTAATGTTCTGTTAAATCAAAATTCAAAATATATTGCACGTCTATTTTATCTATGTTTCTCATATTCAGTCTATTCTACGACACAAGTCTGAATTGGTGGATTTAAAGGATTTACCATTTTATTGCTCGCAAGCTCCATCTCCATCACTTTTGATAAAACCAAATTTATTGTATTTGACAAATTCTATTTAACCAAAAATTATATTTTTGATATTATTTATAAGTCTTAATTTGATAATATATCCTACTACTAATTTTACTTAAAATAAAGTGAAAACTTCTAAATTTTTTTAAATAAAGAACTGAAATTTTCTAAATTTTTTATGAAATAAATTTTAATAGTTTCAAATGTAAATTTAGAATATTTATGAGATCATTTTCTTTGCTTTATTGATTATTCTCTAGAAAAAGTAAAGGAATACCATAACAAATTTGCAATATACTTTGATCCAAATTAAAGTTATTCCACTTTAATCTTATTTTTTTTGCTTAAAATTTTTTCCCAAGGAAATATGAGATTAGGACATATAGCATCTTAAGGCACCAATAATATCATAATTATATCCAAAACCGCAAGATAATATAAAAATAATTATAAGAAAATAACATAAATATATACATAAAAAGAGCTGTGAAGGCAGATGCAGAATCAGCAATGTAAAGATGAAGCAAAAAAAAACGAATTTTTCATGAAAATCCCTTGGTGAAAATTTATGAAATATATTCAAAATAATGCATCAATTTCTTTTTTCAATCTATTTTTATTAAAAAAAACAGACTTTTTGCCCAATGAAAGAGAAAAAAAAAAAACAATCTTGCAAGTAATTGTTTACTAAAATAAAAAATTTGTTTGAATAATTCTTATAATGTCTTAATTAAATATTTATTGAAGTATTAATATAAATTTTAAACCTTCCCAAAAAAGAAAGAGAGAAATTTTAATGTAAAATGTACTTAAGCGCAGTGGTCTAGTGCATAGGCACCGGTCTTGCCCGAAAATCTCAACTTTAGCTGGAAATGCCCGGTAAAGGGTTTTTTCAAATCGAAAGATATAGGAGATTGTGTATGGCTAAAATATAGTCCCATAAC